AATCCAATAAAACTATGCCATTACGTAATTAGAAAAGCTTTTAATTGCTTTTGTAAATAAGTAATATTAAGGACATTATTGTCTGAAGAAATAAAAATTTTCTGATGAATAATGAATTTTTACGAGAATTTTTCATTTTTTTTTTTAATTTTGTTTATAATAGTTTATAATAATTTAAAATCGTGTAAAATTCTGTATTGTGCTATTTCCTGGATGTGATATAGTAATTTAGTGGAAACAAAATTTACAAATCCAAAATTGAAATGATTAATCAACTTAGTTGTGCTATTCTATTTTTAAAATATTTTGTATTTTTTACTCAATACGTTCATTATTTTCATGTACGGTAGACTGAAATTGCCATTATTCTGATCTAAAAGTTTTGTCCTTTTATTATGTCGCTTCAGCTACGTTTCAACAGGTTTTCAAATTTCTATCCAGCTTTAAAATTTCACTTTTTCAGTTACTATTTCGCTAAATATTTTTATTTTATGTATTTACATTAGTGTGGGACATACTTCAATTAAGTAATCATGGCATTTCATTTCTTATTAAATTATAAAATCAAAGAAAATTTTAATATTTAATTTTTTTATTTTTGCATCTTTGAAAGATAAATAAAAGTCAATAAAATATTAAATAATTGCGGAAAATATGTTAATTGTAAAGTTACTAGGTAGTTAAAAACCGTAAATATGCGTTCACTTAGATTTCTGACAATTGGATCATCCATAGTAGCTGTCATCGCTTCGTCTATGAGCAGTCCACCAAACGTTGGATCAGATGAACTGGACCAATCGTTAATAATTGGTTGTATATTAATTTTTATGTTATAAGTACGTAATATTTATTTCAAAACAGATTAACTTTGAATTTTCTAATTTTACTAAAATAATGTGTCAGAAATATACATTTACTTTTTGAAAGAATTTTAAAATAGATAAATTTGGTTTGTTTAGAATTTTTTAAAAATTAAGAAAATGGCCGCTTTTAAAAAAATTTTAAGAAATGCAAATTAAATTTGACATTCCAATCTATATAATTTCTATCTAAAATACACCAGGTTATTTTAATGGAAATAATAAATTTAATTATTAAACTTTCAATTAAAGCTTAAATGAAATCTTCAAGAAAGATTTTTCATTTTTAAAATTTAATTTTAAACCTTAGATATCGAAAATTTATGCCAAAAATTGGAGAAGCTTAGCTTTATCTATGTAAAATATGTACGATCTCAGGCTGTTTTTTTTTTCAACAAATAGGATCAGTGGCAAATATCATGAAGCCATTTCTGACCTTAAGGCTCTAGTTGGGACCCGGAAGGAAATATGTATACAACAGAAATCAAATGAAATAATAATAATAATAGTACTCGAGATAATTACAGCTTTTTGCTATTTCAATTTTCTGATGACTACTAATTTTTAAGATAATGACTGAATAAGCTCCTTGCGTTTTTCTTTATTATTTTTCTCTGCTCTACACGTGGACATTCTCCTATTGCCTCGTTGAATATTTGAGTTTGACAACGTAAAAAAATATTGCGAAAATAAATCATATATGGATGCAGGCTGTTATTTAAGTAAGTAAGAAGGTACAAATGAAACTATTCGAAATTGACAAGTTTTTCCATTTTAGTGAAGCAGATGTTAAACTCATCAGAGCGTTATCATCTCATCTATCTTCTCTTTTCCGTCATTCCTCGCGTTCAATACGAAAGAGTCCATTATTTATGAGGTATAACCTAATACTATTTTCCAGTGTTCATCACGTATTTGAAAACGACATTCTGAAAGAGATTAATATAGAATTAACGGATAAGATTCTTTCATTATAAGGAATGAGTCATATATTTTTGTGCCATCGTCGTCGGCTTTATCTTGTATCCAAGAATTTAATTTCTTTTTTTTGATCGCTTCGTTTATGATAATGGCGTTGGTGACTAAGTAGACCAGTACTTTTATGGAAGAGCCGAAGGTATTGAGTGCATCGTGGAAAGCGAGGTCAATTTTGTTGAGCCTTTCTCTCTTGCCGTTTGACTTTTGGTGGCTTTGAAGATTTGGGTTCTGATGGTGAAGAAACATCGTCAGTTGGTACGGTCTTGTGCTTATGTTTCAAACGATTTAGATTCGATGTTTTGAGTTGGTTCTTATATCTTCGAAGAGGGCGAGTCCATGGTCTTTTCCCTGAAGTGAGCTGACTGAATAAGACTTGATGTGGAAACCTTGACTCTTCCATTCTTGCTACATGTCCTAACCATTGAAGACGGTGCTTAATGATCAGGGCAGCTATTATAATAATATATTAAAACTCATTAGAACAATTATTCTAAAACCAGACATTATTAGCAAAACAACCTAATATCAGTAACGGAAATACTACGACTGAGCTAAAACGCCAAGTGTAGGTTGTATGTGGTTTAGGTCAAGAAGTACCAGATGATATGAATCGAAGTTAATGTCAATAAGCAACATTAATTCTAAAATATATTGATCTGTGATGACCACAATATGCATCGAACTCACTGTAGTTTACTCCAAAATAAATTTGAATTCCGTGCAATATTGGAGCAACAGAGAAATCAGATACGGAAGCGGCTTGATCTGGAAGGCAACCTCCTAATCACCATGTTCAGACTCGCCCCGCAAATGATGTCAGTGGCTCTTTCTGGTATATAAATATGAGATCGATTCAGTTACGCTGAGAATATGAACATATAGGACAACAAGATGATAGGAAGATGTAAAACCACAACACCCGAGAAGAAACAGATATAGAGTCTTACAGAGCTTTTCTAGAAGAGAAATCTGCACTCAAACATAATAGCTAAATCCACAGACACACACCGATATTAATTGTCGAAATTTGGGTGTGGATAAATAATAAGTGTACGTGTGAGAGTGTTAGTTTCGTCTCTATAAGTATTTAACATGATAATTCTTTCTCTCTCCAATTATCTGTCTATCTCTCTATCTATCTAAAACCCCGTACACTCGAAGTGTGGCCAAGTAATAATGTGGCCAGTAAGCCAAAACACTGAAAAGCGTAGTCTGCGATTTTACTTAGCTGACAGCTGGAGAAGAGATGAATTCAAAACTTTTACGCAAAACTGAAAAGTAACGAATTCAACTGAGACGCTAATCCTTACACTACCAGCATATCCTTCTATAATGACAACATTACGTGAATTCAGTCTGTAACATCGCTAACCTATTACCAATGGAAGCTCGATACGCCATCAAAGAAGTGTCTTTAAAAAAAAACAATTCGATTCAAATAAACATTTTTTCGTTTTTGTTTTGCCGAATGAGATATGCATTTTCGTTTAGTTTCTCATTAACCATAGTTCCAGGATTCGCTTAAAATATAATCTGTTTACTTTCATCTTAACAGCATTTGTAAGTGTGACACAATTTAAATATTAAGTTTCTTAATTTTACGTCCTTTACTAGTTTTATATTGTCTTTGTCTAACCAAAATATCATCCCAATATGAGTCTTGTATTTCAATTTGATGTTGGATACAAGGTTCGAATTGCTACATCATTTAGAGAATTCCTTAACTGTGTATCAGATACTAAGATTTGCTTTCCGGGAACATACTCAGATTTAGGCTTATATATCCTGAGCCATATCAATAGCGTTTGACATCATCGTTACGTAATAATTATTACCACTATAGTTTTTTGGTCGCTTAGTATGTAGAATTGATCCAGTCCAACAATATATCTATCAAACTTCCCACAAGAATTAAGAATTACTTTTCAGTATGGACGTAATTTAATTCTAGCGGAGTTAGTGCTTCAAATCCATAACTGATTCTGTCAGCATTTATAGGTGGTGTCATAAAAAGAAAGTGTCGGTTTTTGTGTTAATATTTCTTTAATTTTTGATTGCATTATCCTGTGGATCGTCCACGTTTAGCATCAGTTGAATAGAGTTTGCAAGGTTAGGTGAAAAAATGCCGTAATACGGAATCATGAAAATAATTCTTTGAAGTTCTCTTATTGAAGTAGGGGCAGATAACTCACGTATTACTTTAACCTTTTCATAACAAGGTTCTATATCCTTGTCTGATATATATTCTAAGTATTCTATTTTATTGGACATACGCATTTTTACACATTTAATTTAAGGCCTGACTGATTTATCCGTTTCACTGCTTTTGAAAATCTTTATGCTCACCCATCGTTTTGAATTAATTCAAAAATATCTCCGATAATTACTTCTGTGCCTTCCAAATCCCCTATTAATTCAAACATGCAAAGCTGAATAATTTCGGGATCAGATGAAATACCAAAGGGTAGATTTAAAAAAATAAAATATTGTTCAAATAGTGTTATGAATGTTAACAACATGCTTTCTTCATCTAACGGAATTTGATGGAATCCACTAACTGCATCCAATGTTGAAAAAAAAATTAACATATTAATTTAGACTATATATCATCAAAGTTACGTAACATTTAATGCTACCGCTTCAGTGCTTCATTTAATTTTTCAGGTTCGCCTACAGCCGTGTGTTTCCATTTTACTTTTATACGGGAAAGAAAGGAGCACAGAATTCCGTTGGTTATGCAACATTTTTTATATCTTCTTTTTCAAAGCGATAAATATCTCCTTCCTTGATGTTCAGTGTGACATGACTTCGTTTTTCGGAGCAAACCCTTCATATATCCCATATTACTCTTTTCACATTTTGCGTTCGATCGCTGACGATAGCAGATTGATTGATTCATGTTCTACGGTTTATCAAAATTTTGAATGTTATTTAAAGCCAGAAAATACTTCTATTTTGTAATGATTTTTTATGAGATAATAATGATTTAATGATACAAGTTTTACTAATTAACCCATAGCTGGGGGAGAAGACATTGCGTCATACCTTTCTCTAAGTGTATTTTGCACGTAAGTAAATATAATGTCACAAACTGTAATTGAAACTTGGCTCTCCGATTAACAATTCTGAGCCATTATTCATTACACCGCATTAACATCCAAGCTGATCTTCTTAGGTGGTCACCCATCTAGGTACTGACCAGGCTCGACGTTGCTTAAATTCGGTCATCGTACGAGAACCGGTGTTTCAACGTCATGTGACCGTAAGCCGCGTGCCTCTGGATGAAATATTTTTCATAATTCAATCATTAAATGAATATCAATTTTATACGGTCTATCTTTCCATTCTACTGAAGTTGTAAATATTCTTTTACATACAAGGTCTGGACTGAACTTTTATAGATTAATCTGGCTAATTTTTAATTGGGTTTTCCTTTAAGTATTTAAAATGTTTCGTATCGGCCAAATTTAATTTTTGCTCCTGCATCAATTTCAAAGGTAAGCGTTGTCTCTCAATCTTTTAATTTTATGTAAAAGAGGACATTTTCTTTCATTTTCTCAGTGACTACCACCTACAAAATATAAAATATTAAAAGTGGTCTACAAAAAGAACTCAATGTATTTATGAATACAGAGCAATGTAATTTATAAACAATAACATCCAAAATCACCTCATATGGGAACTCAGTCTATACCGGGGTTAAATAAGACAGACGACTGATATCTTCGTCTGCCGTAACATGAGGTGATTTTGGATTTTATTGTTTATTATCATTTTATATTTATGGGTAGATGTATAGTTTGCGGTCTCTAAATAGGTTTGATTTTTAGAAACAGTGAGAACTTTCATTCCAACCAGATAACTCAGAATGTGACAACTTACAGCTTATCTATGATAAAAACAAATATTATCTGAAATTATTATTAAAATTAATGTCGGTCCTTGATGTTCGAAAATTTTTTGTTTCCCGTCCCAGATTTTTCTGTTACCCACACTTGCTTGGTGTTGATGTGGATGCAAGAAAGTTATATGAAACAATTAAATTCACCATAAAAATATCCGTGCTAAATGATGAAATTTAATGATGTAACCACAAGATCTTTTAATAATTTATCCAATGTATATGTCTACAAGTTTCAATAGTCAGTTAGGATGTTATACACTTAAAATCAGAATGAAATATATTTTCAGTTATAAAAAAATTCATTCAAGTGTTACTGGCAAAATATATTTTTATTTCTTTATGGTCACTCTAGTGCTAATAATGTTATTATAAGAATTTTTTACCAAATATGTAATGAAAGTCATGAAAAACGAATTGGTCTATGAAAATAATTTCTCTAAATGCAACAACAAAAATCGGATACTTGAATTTAGAAGAGAGAATAATTATGTAATCAAACTGTTAACTTTTCACACCACTAAAAAAGAAGGAATGGAAGGAAACTTCTGTAATATTTAGAATCTGCAATGGCGTTTAAAATTAGTAGAGTCTATAATTCTATGGAGTTCATTTGCCTCAAATAATCTTTAGATAAAAGGATTTTAGAAATTTCAAATAAAACTAATGGTAAATATTTGGTCAATGAATACCAATTTTTTCCTGTATGGAAATAGTCAATTTTATCATTACCATTACAATTACATTAACAGATTCTTTCTTTTTGCAATTAAGTACGTATATTTTATAAGGATCTGTAAATGTCACCCACGTATAATACGATGAAAGAGAGTAGATTCATCGAAATAATCTTTGACTTCTCCAGACATTTCGCGCACATTTTATTTACTCGTCAGACGCGTGACAAACTCATAGGAGCCTTAATAACAATTGTTCATATCTGCAGAGACATGATTGAATTTCCTGTTATTATTATTATTATTATTATTATTATTATTATTATTATTGTTGTTGTTGTTGTTATTTGCTTCTTATTGGATTATTGTTATTATTTGCTTCTTATTGAATTATTATTATTATTTGCTTCTTATTGAATTATTATTATTATCATTATTATTATTTGCTTCTTATTGAATTGTTATTATTATTATTTACTTATCGAAATATTATTATTATTATTATTATTATTATTATTATTAATATATGCTTCTTATTGAATAATTATTATTATTTGCCTCGTATTGGATTATTATTATATTATTATTATTTGCTTCTTATTGAATTATTATTATTATTATTATTATTATTATTATTATTTGCTTCTTATTGAATTGATATGATTTAGTTTGAAATGAAGGATCGGATTCCAGCCTCAACATATCAATCGAATAAACATCAGATTCGAAAGATCAAATATCGAAGCGATTGACTACAAAGTTAATTAGGTAGACATGAAACAGCCTGATAATGGGAGACGAAATCTGCGAGATAATTATTTAAATCTCATGTATGACATTGAAAGAATACAGAAAAAATGAGAACCGACAGCAAATCTGATCTCACTGGCCCTGTCAAAGTTGACTAAGTGAATAACATCTCTCATCTACCTGACTAAGGTAGTCATGAGATTGTCTAGTGATCAACATTTCATTCATTCAATCTCTTTTCCGTCATACACCGTAGCATGCCAGTAACGAGAGCAAGCATTGGGTAATATGAATGTCATAAAGCAGCTTTAGCCGAAATTCGAATTCGGGCAGCTGACTCTATTTTATGTTGGTAAGTTTTACACCTGCACCTTTCTTAGAAGAGTTCCTTCCCCAAATTAGGATACCTCTTAAATTTTTCGAAAGTGTATCAAGCCGTTAACTTTTCAGCACCTTATATATCTCTCTCACTGTCTCTCTCACACACATACTCACACACTCTCTCTCTCTCTCTCTCTCTCTCTCTATATATATATATATATATATATATATATATATATATATATATATATATATATATATATTATAGGTATATAAATTTTCCATTTTTTCAGTTACATCACATAGTACAAGGCATAAAGGCCACTCAAGGGAGGGCGTTACTGAGTAATATTGTTGAAAGTGAGAGAGAAGGAAGAAATAAGAAATCCATAATACTAGGATTTTTTTTACAATGAATATCACCCTTGCAAGGTCGAAGTGCCACTTGAATTAATGGGTTACAGAGTAGGAGGTACAGTTCATGTTGATATGTAGAGGAGATAATGGCTAACCGTGGACTTAAACAGTTTAAGATGGTAGTGATTGGGGAAGCATCCTCTGGGGAGCCGGTTCCAAAATGCAGTGATTCATGGAAAGAAGCTGCCCGAGTGAAACTTAGATCTCCCCAATGGTATACAAAGGGAAGGAGAGTTGATCGGCATAATGGGTGTAAAGATAGCGTTGCTCACCCAGATCTTGGGGTTTGGTCCCATATACCATTGTATCATCTTCATAGATATTCACATATGATCGGATACAAATCATTTATGTAAAATAGAAAGGGAGTTGAACCGAAAATTAAGGCTTCGATGATGCCTGCTTTACTTATGTAAGTGTTCTCAATTTTAAATACTTTTGAAAGTAATTTTGATGCACATGAAAATAGCATTATTTTATTTAGTTAACAATTTACAGTTTGATAATCAATAAGCCATTTTGAAAAATTGGTCTGCATGAAAAATGCTCTAAGTTTGTAGCTAATTAAAAGAAATATCACACACACACATACGTGTATATATTACACACATATATATATATATATATATATATATATATATATATATATATATATATATAATTGAGGAGGATCTTGGAGAAGATTGAAAAGTACGAAAGTAATTGGGTAGGAGAAAACACAGCCTTTCTTGCTGAATTTCATTTTAACATCAAGAAGCTAATTAGAAAACTGTAAATTTTTAGTATAAAATAGACATATCTCTATAATATTCAATGAAACGTTAAAATGAAGATATATATATATATAGGTAGGTAGGTAGGTAGAAATGCTCTGTTTATGATAAACAGTATTAAATAACATTTACCGGCCTGAATGTCTGAGAAATTTTCATAGAAAATATTCGTTCATTCCTATACGGAACCGTCATATACGCTGACGTGCCTTAACCACTCGGCCACCATGAACCTTATGGTAGACAAGGTCGAATTTACTGTTATAAACTACAATCTTCCATGAATTTACATTCATAACTGCTCTGGCGTATCGAATGTAAACAAATGACGTCATATGTTAAGAAATGGACGAGGTCCGACAATTTATTTATTAAAGACATTTTTTATTTATGTTTAACGTTGTTATTTTTATAGATACAAGTATTTAAGCAAATGCTCTTTTATGATAAACAGTAAAATAACATTTACCGGCCTGAATGTCCGATCTTCATAGAAAATATTCGTTCATAGACAATTCGAACCTGTCCTATAAACCGTCATATACGCTGATATAACCACTAACCTTATGGTAGACAAGGTCATTTACTGTTATAAACTACCTTCCATGAATCTCGTACATTCATAACTGCTCTGGCGTATCGAATGTAAACAAATGACGTCATATGTTAAGAAATGGACGAGGTCCGACAATTTATTTATTAAAGACATTTTTATTTATGTTTAACGTTGTTATTTTTATAGATACAAGTATTTAAGCAAATGCTCTGTTTATGATAAACAGTATTAAATAACATTTACCGGCCTGAATGTCCGAGAAATTTTCATAGAAAATATTCGTTCATAGACAGGATTCGAACCTGCATCCTATACGGAACCGTCATATACGCTGACGTGCCTTAACCACTCGGGCCACCATGAACCTTATGGTAGACAAGGTCGAATTTACTGTTATAAACTACAATCTTCCATGAATCTCGTACATTCATAACTGCTCTGGCGTATCGAATGTAAACAAATGACGTCATATGTTAAGAAATGGACGAGGTCCGACAATTTATTTATTAAAGACATTTTTATTTATGTTTAACGTTGTTATTTTTATAGATACAAGTATTTAAGCAAATGCTCTGTTTATGATAAACAGTATTAAATAACATTTACCGGCCTGAATGTCCGAGAAATTTTCATAGAAAATATTCGTTCATAGACAGGATTCGAACCTGCATCCTATACGGAACCGTCATATACGCTGACGTGCCTTAACCACTCGGCCACCATGAACCTTATGGTAGACAAGGTCGAATTTACTGTTATAAACTACAATCTTCCATGAATCTCGTACATTCATAACTGGGCGTATCGAATGTAAACAAATGACGTCATATGTTAAGAAATGGACTGACAATTTATTTATTAAAGACATTT